CGGCGCAGCTGCAGTGGGCCAGGGCCCGGGGCCCGCCTTCCCCGCCCTAAACCGCCTCAGTATGAGCGTAATAAAAATGACACCGAGCAAACTGCCCCCGCCAGCTGCTGCTGCACCTGGCCGAGCTCCTGAGACACGGGGAGGGGAGAGGGAGCTGCGGCTGCCCCCCCGGGTGAGGTGGCTCCGGGGATGTGCCCGGCTTTTGCGAGGTGAGTAATACCGGCGAGGTAAGGTTTCCTCATCTGCCCGCTAAGGCGAGTCTACCCCAGGCAGCCGGCACTCCCTCCCCTGCCCGTGTCTTTTTCCTAAGGCTTGGAACTATCCAAACTAGTAGGGCTAATACTGGGTCAACTGCAATGCCCCAAAGACACTCTGCATCACCAAAAAAGACATCCTTACAACGTCAGACATATTCCATGCATACCATTAAATACAGCATTTACCTTGATAAAAACAAGCCAGATACTTGCCTACCCTCTGCCTGAGGGACGACTGCAAATAAAATTGCCCTCAACTAGCTTCCAAACGCTGTTTTCCAGCAAAGGAAAATGGCATTGGGATTGGTTAGGAAGATCTTTCATTTCAAAAAGGGAATCTAGTAGCATTTCTCCTGCCTTCATCTTAGGCGAGCTATTTCCAAATAGTCTGCGTACTTTTCCTTATAAGGAATATCTCCCCTGGATCTATATGTGGTTCCTTTGAACAAGCTAAATAAACGTCCTGCTAGGAAGCTGCCTCTCATCTCTGCAGCCATACACAGAAGACGACAGACATCTGATCCACATTATACACTGAACCCATTCCTATGCACGCTTATGTTAAAGTCTTGAGTTCTCTTTCAAAGCTACACAACTTAACTGCCATTCTGAAGCTAAACCTTTTTTAACTTTTGTTCATTTTAGAAGTAAAATCATGTTGTCTTCCATGCAAAGTTTTTTGTAACATTTCCCCTTCTAAAAGTACCCTTCCTCCCCCTGAAATACTTTGCTTGTTTCATCTGTGGCATCTCCTCTTTTTAATTTGGCTTTGAAGTTAATTTTTAAAGCTGAGTTATAGGAAAAGGACGGTCATCGCTTTGGAAATACTGTGGATTCATCGAATCCTGTAATTCAGACCTGAGATTTACTCAGAGAGAATTGGATTGTAGAGCAGCAGCCATAGAGATCTGGACCTTAACTGCAGAGACAACAAACTCGCATTGGTCCATGCATGCAATACATTAGATGCATGTCAGGGGCAGACAGGTGGGTGGGATGTGGGCCTGGGAGAGGCACAGGCTCTTACATTATTACCATATAAAGTGCTGAGCTATATATATCTCCCAGCTTGCTCACAGGATCCTTGTCCTCTGAACTGCAAACCTAGCAAGTATCATCTTCCAGGCAATTTTCTCTCACGCAAGACTGAACTCTTCTTTGACAACTGAAACAGTTCCAGTGATTTCCAGGAAAAAAACCTCAAAAACTAGGAGAGGATCTTTTATCTCAGGGACCACTGAGTGAGCCAAAGTAGTATCTAACAGCAGTTCTAATGCATGCGTGCCTAGAACAGCTCTCTTGAAGACAGAACTAGCAGCCCTTGCCCTTTTGGATGTTCTCTCCTGGATTTACTTGCTATTAACTCTCTGATGCTGCTTCACTATCAAGTAGTATTGTTCCAGCCTGAGCTGTTTTCCCCACCACCTGAACAGACAATCCACCCTTTCTTTACTTTCACATCTAGAGTGGCAAGTACACATGAAAAGCACGTGTCGAGTGAGCAGAAACCAAATCAAATGCCTCTGACAGTGTGCAAACCTCATGCAAGGAGGCAGTGCTGTGTTTCCCACCTCCCTGCCCAGGAGTTGGCCGGAGCCCACCCTCAGCAAAGCTTTGCAGCCCTGCTTGGTAGGAGTCCTGGCTGTCCTGTGCAAAGGGAGCGTGTGGTTTCTGTACTGGAGTGGTGGTGAAAGGGATGGGGGTAACTTACATCTGTGGCCTTTTTGTCAGCCAGTTCCAACTTTTCCTGTGCATCTTTAAGGGACTCGGAGTATTTGTCCAGCTCATCCTCAGTGCCCTTCAGCTTCTTTTGTAGAGCCACCAGCTCGTCCTCCAGCTGTGATTCGGGCGGAAAGTGGTGGAGAGGGGAGCGCGGGCAGGAAAAGGTGCAGCAGGCAACGTGATCGTGCAAAGGGAGAAGTGCGAGTGCAGAAGAGACAGAAAAGGACAGACGGACAGAGAGAGAGAAGGAGAGACAGTTAGATTATCTTTGCTTGCCATAAGGGCACGATACCTTGGCGGCATTCTCCTCTGCGGAGAGGAGGCTATCCTCAGACTTGTGTAGCTCTTCCAGCACTTGGTCCCTTGCATCCTCCGTCACATGCAATTGCTTTTCCAATTGCACAATGTCATCCTCTAACTAGGTGCACAAGAGGAAATAACAACGCACAAATATATTTCTCCCTTGGCTTAGAAACGTGGGAAATTAATGTTTAAATCCCTCTCCCTTCCTCCCTCAGGATCTCCCAGAAATGTGCAACCAATGTGCCACCCTCCCCCAAACGAATAAAGCCCCAGGTATAAAGGAGAGGAGTTGGAGAAGGCCAGGAAAATGGGACATGGGGGGGAGCAGGGCAGCTAGACTCGGACAAGTCTGCCGAGTGGTGCTGGAGGGGGCAAACACAGCTTTAAATGTTCTTTGCCTAATCGCTGCATGTCTGTCCATTGCTGACCAGATGCTTCACGCAGCCTCTCCCAGCCGTGCCCCTATGACAAAGGCACAGAGGCCATGCGGCTGTCCCAGGGCCCCGCTCCCCAGCTGGGGTGCTGGGCGCGGGGGCAAGCACCTCCTACTGGGACCCCGGGAACCTCCAGCCAGGGGCTGCCTTAGGAAAAGTTCGGCTAGTTCTGTGGGGCATGGGGTGGGAACACGATACGGTAGAAAAAAAAAAAAAAAAAAAAGAAGGGGAGGGAGAGAGGGGGGGAGAGGGAGAGAGGAGTCATCTGTAAAGACTGCGCCCGGGCGCTCAGCGCGCCCGGGCCCTGGGTGCAGACCTGCTTGCTTCTCTCCTCCGCTGCCTTCTTGTCCGCTTCGGCTTGCTCGGCTCTGTCCAAGGCGTTCTCCTTGTCCAGCTTCAGCATCTGCATCTTCTTCTTGATGGCATCCATGGCGGCGGTGGGCTACGGCGCGTCCCCGCGCGAACTGCACCCGAAAGAAACCTTGGAAAGCTGCGGGACAGCCCCGAGTCCGAGACCCAGCCGCGGCCCCCGGGGGAGCGGCGTTTCCCCCCCATCGCAAATGAGAAATTGGGGCTAATTGGCAAAGGCTGCTCTCTGCTTCCCTCCCGGCCCCGCCGCCCCCGCCCCGCGTCCCTCCGCACCGGCGCCTCCGTAGCCTGCGACTTTGCATCTCTCTTTCCTTTTTTTTTTTTTTTTTTTTTTTTTTTTTCCCTCCCTCCTCCGTTCGTCCCTACCCCTTTCCCTCTCGCACTCCCCCCGGCTTTTTTCGGAGGCTCAGCGCTCCCATTCGCTGCTGCCTGCCATTTGACCGTAGATATGACTATATATGGGGTGCGATGGGCGAGGTAAGGCGGGGGAGCAATTTGTTCCCATTTCCAAATAGGCAGGACGGGACGTTTCGCTGCTACTCCTGGGAGGGGGGAAAAGAAA